CTTGTGACTAGTGCGATACTATTTAATGCCACTAATTGGCACTGTTTGCTAGACAGGCGAGTCGATGCTGCTGCTGGCCAATGCCGCTGGCTTCGTCCTCCTGTCCTTACATCCAATTTGCCCCTGCCAATTTGTCGGGCAGTCCTTCTGTTGGTTGAAGGTTGAAATGCAGCTAAAAGAGGGGCAAAACATTTCACACCGGCGCATACATCACGCTCCAGCATCAGAGTGCACACACAATTGAAGTGGCCCTTTTTTGTTTATTTCTTTCTCTCCCCTGTTTGCTCTGGCAATCACAACTACTATTTGCCTAATTTTCTGATTTATTACCAGTTGTTGTTGTTGTGTGTGCGTGTCGGTGTGTGTGTGTATTTGGCAAGTACCGCCACTGCAGTGCTCTGGAGTGATGCGTCAGCAGAAAATGGATTCTCTCTGTGTGTTGTTTTTGAAAAGAGAGAGAAAGGGAGGGAGACAATTGAAAAGCACTGTACAACTGTAAATATTTTTTTTCAACTAGTTGCGACGGTGCTGCTGGCAATCTTAACGAGTTCACATTAAGCATGCCTCTCTACAAAACAAACACAGCCTCATTTGCCACCGCCACCCCTAATACGAATATTCTTCTTATTTTCTCTCTCTCTCTCTTTCCTTTGCAGTAGCACCCAGTCGGTAGTCAGTGTGCCTTTGCATTAATCACACCGACAGTCAATTCATCACCTCAACCACTACTCTCTTGATGGCGAGTGCAAGTTCAACAGCTTGCCACCGTGAAGCCGCAGAGACTTTGAGTCGTTGCCCACCGCCTACACAAACATTTGCGCAATATACACACACAAGCTATGCTCAAACCAGATTGTGATTGGAAGTTTGACTAGTACTGCATCAGTGCTACGGTTGCCAATTAAGCGAGACTTTTCAAACGCCGGCCTATGTGTGTGCTTTTTAGTGCAGCGTTGATTTTTGCTTCGTTTGAACTCACTTTAAACTCTCCAGTGACAAAAATCAGCGCAATTGCATTGCTGTCACCGGCTCTATTTTTTAAATTTGCACTGGTAATTGTCAGCCGTGTGATTAAACAGACTAGTTTTTCAGTACAGGAAAAAGAGATGCACAGCCCCTTCNGCAAAAATCAGCGCAATTGCATTGCTGTCACCGGCTCTATTTTTTTTAAATTTGCACTGGTAATTGTCAGCCGTGTGAGCCTTAAGGCCACAGTCCAGAAAGAAATGAGGGCTTCCCTGCGCCCTTCAACAAAGCATGTGTTTCAATGAGGATTGTTATGATTCTTGCGGTACATTTATCTCAAGAACTACATATCAGATTAAGGTAATGTAAAAAGCAAAAATAAAGTTACAAACTTAATCTAATTTTCTGTGGTTAAATATTTAAGTTAAAATTGGTTACAATCATTAAAATGACAAAACAAACATTTCAACAACTGTTTTGTATATCTTTATCACATTTTTTCGAGATATTTAACCACAGAAAGTTAGATTAAGTTTTAAACTTTATTTTTGCTTTTTACATTACCTTAATCTGATATGTAGTTCTTGAGATAAATGTACCGCAAGAATCATAACAATCCTCATTGAAACACATGCTTTGTGGAAGGGCGCAGGGAAGCCCTCATTTCTTTCTGGAGTGTGGCCTTAAACAGACTAGTTTTTCAGTACAGGAAAAAGAGATGCACAGCCCCTTCACAGCTTTATCAGACTATTGACAGACAGAAAGAGTGTATTTTGTGTTTTGTTGTATTTGCATAGCACCTCTATCTTGTGCGGCACGCGCTGTCGGCTCAATTGAATTTGCTCACTTGCACCAAAGCGCCCATTTCTGGTTGATACTCTCTCTCTCTCTCTCTCTTTTTCCCCCTTCCTTTCGATCGATACATCGCACAGAAAGCGTAATTTGTTTTGCAATTGCTGTGACAATGACACTCGAAACTTTATGTGTTTGGTTAACTTTGCCACACTGTGTCTTCAACTGATTCTTTCTCGTCTGTCGACATGCCGGCAACTTTTTCATCTTTTTTTTCTTTTCTTCTTTCCTTCTGCTGTCTGCCTGTCTAACCGACTATTGTCGGCACTTTCTTTTCGATGCAGCTGTGTCTTGCTACTGAATATTTACTTTGGGAAAGAGGGGCGAATCTCGCCGACGCCATCATCTCCCTTCCCCTTTGCTACTGTCTGTCTGTTTTTCACTCAATTTATTCACACACACATAGAGGCATTATAATGTGCCGCTTAATTTGTATTTGACTACAACTGCCGACAATTGTGTTTGTCTGTGTGTGTATGTATTTGTTCGCTAAACGACGTTTGCCCGCGAGACTTGGCAATGCAATGCCGAATAGCAACATCACCCAACAACCCTTTTGCTCTCTCTCTCTTTCTTCTTGGCAACATCAAATGACGATTTTGTTGGCCAACTTGATAGCTCTAGTGGTATAGTTTTAATGACGTGTTTTAGAATTTATGAAATATTTTCTTTTTACAAGGAAGCAAAAGATTGACGTAGCTCGGGTCATTTGTACATTGTCGCACAACGTGGTTTTCGTCTGCCATTAAATTCATGCATAACACATATTTTCCGTTTTTCTTTTTTTGGTAGATTCTCACTTCAACAGCACTTCATCGAGTACGAGTACGCTTCACTTGAACAGTAGTAGTAGCCCCAACTCTACTGTACCCTCATCGCCATCCTCAGTCATTTCCTCACCTATTGGTCGTCAAGCGGCAGCAGCAGCAGCAGCCGCCGCCGTCAGCACTCACCTCCTCACAAATAATGACATTTGCGGCAGTGTCAGCCAGCACAGCACCTCCTCATCTGTTGACCCTCTTGTGACTATCATCTCCAGTGCATCATCTTCATCAGCACCCTCCGCTGTCATCACCTCTGATCATCAGTGCACCACTTCACATACTGCTTTCATCACCAGTGCGCCAGTGAAAGGGGAACAAGGTCTTCAACTGCAGCTGTCTGTGCCTAAAAGGGAACATGAGCATGCAAGTGAATCAGCCATTGACCTGGTGAAATCAGCATCTTTGCCCAGTCACCGTCATGTGCCCGTTATTGCCAGCACTGCTGGATACGCAGCCGTAATCGGCAACAGCAGCAGCAGCAGCAGCAATCAGCAGATCACGTCCTTGTCGTCTACTGTGCAGCTAGAGGCAACACAACAGGACATTGGCGGACGTGTGCCAGTGCTGGACAGTGCAAAGGATCATCATCATCAGCAGCAGCACAGCTCAACTGCAGCAGCGGCAGCGGAAGTGCATCAGCCATCATCAACTGCAGCTACACCTCACCTCTGTTTGCCGGTGAGCACAGTGGCTACCAGTGACAACAGTGCCAGCGACATTGACTGCGCCAGTCGGCGAAACGTGACAGTGTGTGACACTAACTTTGTGCCCGCATCGTCCACTGTGCTTCCCTCTTCTACTTCTTCCTCCTCTTCTTCAGCAGCCACCTGCGTCCCCTCGACCTCAGCTTCCTCTTCCTCTGATCATCACTCGGAGTCCTCCGACTACGGCAGCGCCTCCACTGGCAGCGCCAAGTCCTCCTCGATCAAGGACCGCGAATCGCCCTTCAGCTCACCCGACGAGGGCATTGAAATGGAAGAGGTGGAGGTCCTTTTCAAGCAATCTACAAGCAACAACGCTTCACTTCCAAAGGTAGGTTTCCATTTTTTTGACGTGTAAGGTTTTTTTCATATCTGCGCAATGTTCCCACTTCTCTCAGCTGATGACACCTGTCTTCAGCTGGTGCGTTGGCGGATTGCTCGCATTTGCTGCTCTGCCGCCACTGCTCAAGTGTGTAGGCATTGTGAACGTCTCTATCTATTAGCCATTATTTCACAAGAGCATGAACACTCGCATTTACACTCGTATACAGAACGCCGATAGACCATTAGGCAACAGCAGCAATTGTCGATTGACTTCCCCTCTTTGCACTTGCTGTGAAGTTTTTGTTGCTTTTCGCCACTACATTTTTTGTTAGTTTTTTGTTATTTATACCGTCGTTCAAATTGACACCACATTACACTACACTACACTTGTCGCCGACTCTCTTTTTCTCACTCATTTGCTTTGCCTCTATTAGCAGGGGCACTGATAAGCTTGCACTGGTTAACCCGTTTTTTGCAGAGTGGCACTACCACTGATCAGCAGTAGTGGTAGTTGTGGTTNTTTGTCGCCGACTCTCTTTTTCTCACTCATTTGCTTTGCCTCTATTAGCAGGGGCACTGATAAGCTTGCACTGGTTAACCCGCTTTTTGCAGAGTGGCACTACCACTGATCAGCAGTAGTGGTAGTTGTGGTTGCGGCTTCAAATCGCATTGGTGCTCCTGTTAGCTGTCTGTACTCTAGTTATCATCGCTCGTGCAACACTTTCCTGTCTGGTATAGACGGCATCAGCAGCAGCAGTTCCGTGTATCAGCAGCCGAAACCGAAACGCAAAGATAGTTGTCCAGTAAAGTACCCTGTGCAGTAGCACTTTACATGTTTGTTTGGATATAATAAATTACAGCACTCTCATTTAATTAGGTTCACCCCCAAAACCACCACTCATTGTCCATCGCAAAGGACTGCTGTTTTGTGTTCTTCCTTTTTCTTTGATTAATTTTTAATATATTGCCATCCTTTCTGTTGTTGTTGGTGCTGCCACAAGTGCCACTGTCTCTTTAGTTGGCTGGCCATTTGTTTCACTGCTGTTCAGTGCAGAGGGTGATGGCTCTTTTGCACTCCTTTAACCCGTTTTTTGGCAGTTTCTGCGACACTGCTTATACCCACTGGTGCACAGAGAGAACAGTGAGGCCGGTCAGAAGGAGCAGCAGCAGCAGTAGCCTCAAATTCTATTATCTAAATGATGGGCAGGCTGTCATCCGCTAGTGGTTTCTCCGTCTGCCTGGATGACTGCTCTGGTCATCAGCATTGCCGTGCCCTAATAAACACTTATCCCCTTGTTTCTCTCTCATTCACTGCCACAGTTCATTTAACACTTTGTCCACACTCTGTCACCACACTTGCACACTGTTCATTGCTGCTGTCCATCATTGTACAGCAGGCAGCTGCAGGCTTTGCCATCATCGCCAGCAGCCAGTGACAGTGACACCAACTTGCTTTGTCAATTGCGTCACACTCTCTATTGGAAAAAAGTGGCGCTGATCTTTCTTTGGTCACATCTCACATCTCCTGTTTTAGCTGGTCGAGCGATTTGAACTGCTGGGGTGATGGCGTCATTGGCGATGAAATGTGCAAGCGCCGAGCATAAACTACAGGCCGAACTTAAGTTACGTTCGTGTTCGCAAGTACGTTCACTAGTGGCGACGTCTAGCTAAAATTCGCAAAATATGGCTATTTTGATGATTTTACTCTTAGTTTTTTCAATCCCTTTTTAAGCATTTTCAACTGAAAATGTGCAAATAGTCGATTTGTGTTCGCAAGTACGTTCACACAAGTTTTGAACTTAACTTGAGTTCGGCCTGTACATCTCTATACATTGTCATCTACTACAGAGTGGCACTTGTTCTAACAGCAGTTTATAAACAAAACTTTGAGATTGTTCATGTGGAGAATAGCGACTTTCAAGATCATTGATCTTCTCACCGGTGTGCATTTGCATTCTCTTCGAAACTTGATGAGCACACTGTATATTGGATTAATGCATCATTATCATTAGGCATAGGAAAAAAAGAGTGAGGGCTATTGATAACTAGTGCTGCCTTAAAGTGCTCTCCCCTCGCTGCTGATTACCAGTCATCATCATTATTGTCATTTGTTTTGGAAAAAAAGGGAAAAAGGTATAAAGAAAAAGACGATCATTTTTTTGCATTTTTTAACACAGCTACTGTACAATAGAAAAAGGGCAATGCAATGCAAAACCTACTTTTGTTGACGTGGCCAACACTATCAATTGAACATTTTCTTTTTTAACACCACCAGGTAAAAAAGTTTGTAGTTTTTATTGTTTTCAAAGAATTGCACTGTAAAAATTTAGTAAAAACTAGATTCTAATTTTAGGGTTATCATGAAAAATGGGAAAAACCATAGCAAAGCTACTGCACTTGGCCATTTTTTCCTGTCAATATAGTCAGCAATGCCCATTATATTCTGTTGATTTATCCGCATTTTATTCATTGCACTTGCACTGACAGCAGTTCCGAGCAGCAGCTCTTGTTCTTTCCTTTTTGGGTTTCTTTGTCTGGTGGTTATGGCAATCTAATAATATTTGATTTGATTTCAATTATTTTCCTGGCAGCAGCCGTTTTTGCTGTTTCACTGTTTCTGCCTTTTGTACGATCGTCGCCTTTTCTCTGTCTCGGCACCATTTTTGGTTGCTCTTGTTGCTGGCTTCTGACTTGCAATAGGCAATGCTAATAAGCAGCTTGGTGACTCTGATTGCTACCTTCAAATAGAGAAAAAAGAATTTCCTCCAATAAAAACCAATGTGGCAGACTGGGCAACTTGAATTCTGGCTTCATTTGGCAGTGTCCCGGTCTCGAGTGCATCTACTGGACACCGACTACTACTGTGCCACTACTCTGGAGGCCAACATTCTGTAATAGGCTTTCACTTGGCTGACTGACACCACAAGTGTGTTTGACTCTGTGCTCTATGCAGATTTGCGTCCTTTCGGCCTTGCGTGATGCAGTTTTGTGTGTGTGTTTCTAGCAAGTCTGCCAATTTTTATTAATTTTCCTATAGAACACCTTGTTTCATTAGGCTGATTCGGTTTCTCGGCACTCGGGTTGTCGTTTCCGAAGCGGCAGACTTTGCTGTGCGCAGCAGAATCATGTGCTGCCGCTTAGTGATTTCCATTCCGTTTAGCTGGTATTGTCTGATTTGGTTGGTTTCTGTATGCGGCACTTTATTGTGTGGCCATATTAGAAAGACATAAAAGTCACTCGACAAAGGAAGAAAGAAAAAGAGAAAGGGCCAAATAATAGGTATTACCATAAATTCATATGCATCACATGAATTATTTGTGTGAGTGTGTGTGCCATTCGGTGCAAATGTGCCTGGTTGATTCGACAGCCACTAGACTGGCAACCGGTAAAAAAGA